TGCCATCTGCCGTCCCCCCTCCCAAGAGAGGCGAAGGGTCTCCTAGGGTTGCATGGGGTAAGCTGTGGGCTGGGGACATGTGTAGACAGCAGACAGATGGAGCAGCAGTGCTTCTCTGACAGGACTCTGCCCCGGCATGAGGGTGACCTGGCACTCCCCAGATCCCCTAGCATCACTGAGTGGATAGTCAGAGGGTACCCTGGCCCATTCATGAGCTAGCCGGGTTTCCACCTATCTCTGGGCCAGGGACAGTATCAAACCAGATTCCTGACTTCTCAGATCTGCTTCCTCTGACCAGAAGGCACCAGGATCTCTGCAGTGATATCTTTTAGAAAGGAATTAGCCCGAAGCAGGCACAACCTCCGACCCAACATTCGAGATTAGGCAGCACATCAGCAGAGGATTGATTAACTCCAGCCTGACTTGGGAGCTGCCAGGTCGAACGCTTCCCCCAGAGTTATTTATGCCACCCCATTAGCTCAGGAAAGGCAGGATTCATAGAGCCATCATGGCCTAAGAACTCGGTGAAATTAATATACCTGTGACTGAAATACATATGAAGCCCGAATCACCTCCATTTAATTGAGAAGGAAGGGGAATTGCAGGCTCCTGGTTGGAGAGGTGAGGCTTCTGGTTGGGAAAAAGAAGGGGAGGCCTTCCACCCACACTACCCATATTACGGTCTCATTCTTTTCTTTCTCTCAATGACCGTTTCACAGTGTCCTTCACGATCTTCCAGCCTCTTGACTCAGCCCACCCCATCACCCTCCATGAAATTTCAGATCTGGGACAGCCAAAAGCAATGAGGGTTCCCTGAGTGGACCAGTGAATGATAGGGAGAGAGACGATGCTTTCACTTGCTGGCGGTGCTTTGATAACCTTTCTTATTAAGAGAAAAGCAACCTGAGCTGGGTTCTGGGATGCAGAGTCCTGACTATGGAATTAATGGTGCTGTATTCAAGTGTGAGCCCGAGGAGTTGTAACAGCAAGTGGTGGTTAGCCCCACCAGGGGAGGAGCTGGGTGGAAATGCTCTTTCACACCCACACCACAGTCTACTGTACAGTTATGGAAGGTTAGGGTTACCTCCATTCGCTGCTGTGGGGTGACCTTCAGAAAATATTCTGAAGTTAAAAAAGAAACGAGCAAGAGGAAGAAGATAAGATGCTAAGACAAAAAATAAAAAATATATAGCAAAAGCAATCTTGAGAAATAAGGAGGAAACAAAAGTGTTGTAACAGGGTGGTCCCCAGGAAAGGGGGAGGTTCCAGGTTCCCTGCCCCACACAAAAGGAGGGTGGAGCTGAGCAGGGAGAGAAGCTGCAGAGGAGACTGAGGAAGGAAGGAAATGGGATGGAGAGCCAGCAGGAGACCTGGAGGAGGCACATGGAGCCGAGTAACACGTGAAGAAACTGCCTTTGCCTTTTGGTCATGGACTGGGTGACACAGATGTGGGTGAGTGACCTGTGGGGAGGTTACAATGGCGGTTTTTGTCTTGATTTTGATTTTGCTCTTTTCCTTCCAGACTTGTCTGGTGGTTTCTGATCCTTTTCTATGGATCCCCACTGGAAGTTGTTTTAGACTTGTGACAGGCTTTGGGGCCTTGCTCTGGGCCAATCCTGCTTGGGTGGATTTTTACCCATGAGGGGAAGGGTAACTTTGGGTGCTTGATTTAGAAACTATATTCTTTGCCTTTCCCGTGTTGTTTCCTAACTGTATTAAAGTTCCTTCCCATTAAAGTCATATGTATTGTGTTGATGCAGCAGATGGCAGAACCTATTTAGAGCAGGCAGGTTTGCGGGGTCTGAGCTGCCCCTCTCCCTGTCCTGTAACAGTATCACGTTACCTGACTTTATATATTATAAAGCAACAGTAATTAAAGTGATATAATATTCACATAAAAACAGACACAGAATCAAAAAGGTCTAGAAATAAATCTACATTTACATCAGTACTTAATTTAAGATAAAACTGCCATTGATGTCATTTTTTTGGTATTGATGGGTTTTGAGTGCTGTGGTTTGAGTTATGCGGGGTCATATGGTCAGGGAGGGAATGATGGAGGACAGGAATAGAGAAAAAAAAAGCTAAAAAGGAGGCATCACAAGACCGGAAACTTGGCTCACAAAATGAGGTGGAGGTACAAGTGATTAGCATAGCCATCAACACAGTTGTAGAAATTAGTGTCCACACTAGTGTCCATAGGCACAGATCACAGATATGGAGATTGAGCCATTGCAGAATCTCCCCCATCCCTTTCAGATTCTACAGTTATGCAAAATCAGCAACCAACTGACAGCTCACAAAGATGAGCCCCTCACTACCAAAAGAAGCCCATAAAACCTAACTCTGCCCCCACAGAGGGGCAGCTCTTCCAGCCCACTTGTGTCTATGCAAGTGTACTTTACTTTGCTGTCCCTTTTCCTAATAAACCTGCCATTTAAATATAACTACCGTCTCTGTCGCATGAAGAAAATCACCACGTGCTGCTGAAAGGGAAGCTCTGGTGAAACCTTTCCCAGAGTGAACCCAAGGACCCCACACTAACTCAAGAGCGGGGTCCTTGGGTTCACTCTGGGAAAGTTTTGTTACAGGGCAACCCCAATATAAAAGGGGTTTCCTGACTGTGGGTCCTCACCCACAGGCTTAAAAAGGACTGATTAATACTCAACTGCAGGCACACACAAAAGGTTAATAAAAGGTTTATTTACAAAAGAAAGGGAAAATGAAGAAAAGAATAACTCAGGGAGAAAAAAGAGGGAAATAAACTCATGCATGCATCCTACCTGTTCCACTGATCTGGAATCCCAAGGGCATGCTGAGAGCTGGCCAAAAGCCAAGAGCCAGGAGGCAAAGAGCCCCAAGGCCCACTTGTCTGGTTTTATACCAAACCTGGCAGCTTAACTCCACCTTCAGGTCCCAGCAACCCTCCCTTTGGTGATGATGGGATTTGGCATTTCCAGTGTCTTGATGGCTTTGTTCTGGAGTCGGGGTGGAGTCCACAAAGCCTGTATGGGATTAGCTCAGGACATCATTTCCCCTAACACTAACACTCAACACAGTCAAATGAATTTTTTCCTCTTTGGGAAAAAAAGCAAGTAACATGACTATAATTTAATGTTTTCAAGTAAGTTCAAGATGTGGCTATCTTTTTCAGAATTCCTGAGGAATTCTTTGGCCAAAATGTGTACTGGCTGACTCTTTTTGTTCAAACAAACAGGAGCATCAATTGTGCCTTGTTGAATTCCCCTCCAATGACAGCAAGGAATGATGTTAAATGCTATAAATGGAAATCATTTCTGCTTCTGGAGAGGTCGAAAAGGGCTTCTATTTCTCATTTTTCCAAACAGTTTAGATGTGAACAAAACCGTTTGTATCTTCACCAATCTCAAAGTTTGTTGGGTGATGGAAGTCCAAATTTACTCTGATATACTATGAAAAATCATCTCATGAGAAAAGAAGAAAACCAATTTTGAAATATTAATTATGTCCAACGTTAAATAAAAATTTTAACTGGAAATACATTTATTTTTATTGATTAGTGTGTCACTTGCTTCCAAAGTGTCTGCATGTCATATAGCTAACACACAACAGCCCTGAGAGAGAAAAACACTGCAAATAACCTTTTTTTAAAAGATAGGTAGGTTATAGAAATCCTGGCCTACGCATAGTTTTGCTTGCTTTCTTGCCTTTCTGTGCCCTGAATATATCTCCTCTCTTGGGCATAAGATTCTCTAGGGTCACATTAGAGGGCCAAATACATGTATTGCATGCCAGCTTGTGTGCTTCTAGGACCAAACTGTGTTAGATTATTTTAATCCAATATTTTTCTCCATTATTAATTTATAGTAAATGATGTATTTGCTTTCTAGGCATGAATACCTAGAAATACATGGAAAACCAGAGAAACTGGCCTCTAATCTGTATGGTAGAATCCATTGGGTGAATTGCTTTCATGATAGCCCACCATTTATCTAGAATATAATCTTTACATATTGAAGCTTTTCAAACTGGACCAAAATCAGGCTGCTAGGCTCAATTAGAGAACTGTGGAATGGTGTTGCATTGACAATGGTGACCCCTGGCCTGTGACTGCTGAAACTAGAGCATGGTGTGGACAGTGGTCACTGTGGGAGACTGGGCGTGCACACGCTCTTTTTATGGCAGGTATAAATACCCTAAAAACTACTGCAAAAATGGTAGGTAACTCATGATGCCATAAAGAGGGACCACAGTCCAGAGCAGGAACTCTGGAATCCCACAAGCTAGGTTCAAATCTTGGTTGAGCCACTAGTACCTGTGTGACCTAAGGAAGGTCCAAAATTTAAATGCTATTTTATGAAATGTATGTAAAGGAGGCGAGAGGACACACCCTCGGGGAAGGGAGATGGTGCAGGTCCAGTCCTGGGGCACCGCAGGCCACCAGGTGACAGCACGGCCACAGCCCACCCTGGGAAACCTGGTGATGAGGGCGCCTGAGTGGCCATAGAGAGGGCGGTGGTGCAGAGATATTGGGCAGGATGGTGGTGGGAGGGGTAGGGGGTTGCTGAAAAGAATGGGGGAGTGCTTGAGGAGAAGGGGGGGTGTTCCCTCACTTTCTGCAGGCTCAGTCCATAGGGACCAGTGATGGGGGAGGGGAGCGGAGCACGAGGGCCGCCTAAGCAACCCAGACACGGAATGCTAAACCCCGGGGGGGGGGAGAGCTCTGGCACATGGGATCTCTGGGGTCCCCAACAGCCCCCACAGAGTGACCCATCCGATGCCCACACCTGCATCTGCTGGGACGGTCAGAGAAGAGACAGGACGATGGGGTCTTGCCCTTGGCTGGATGACGTGGCCGCAGGCTCGCGTCAGCCCCCTGCCCTCCTCTGTGACGTCCCAAGGACCGTCACAGTCCCCGAGGCGGCCAGTGCGCGCTAGATCCCCGGAGGAGAAGGAAGCCCAGGGACTGCTCTCCCCGCTTCCCGATCAGTTCGCGGTCGTTGGCGCACTTTCCGCCCGCAATGGGCAATCTACTGAGTAAATATCGGTGTCTCTGCCACCGCCTGCAGCAACTCCACCGCGGCAGGCCTCTCATTGGCCGGCGCCCGCCTGGACAACCTCGTGTCCACCCCGCTGGGCCTGGCCGGGTGCCCCCAGCCGCTCCGGCCCCTGCCAGCCCGCCGGCTCCCAGGAGCTTCCACCGGCAGCGCTCGCCATCACCACCGGGCATCAACATCGCGCCCCCAAGGCGATGCACCATCACGCCTGCCGTGTGCTCCGGTGTGGGGAGGCTCCCCCCCGCATCATGGGGGAACCCCCCCAAGAAGCCTGTGCTCTCGGCTCGCAATTCAATGACATTTGGGCGCTGTAGAGCCAGAATTATTCCTGCCATTCGTGGCAAATGTCATCTCTCCTCCTTACCATTCAAACTAGACCCTGAGTGGAAGAGAGGAGACACCTCCAGTCACCCGTGCCCAAGACCTGCCCGGGAGGATACGGAGGTGAAGGTGGAAGAACCACCGAACATCGCAGAGGAGGAGGACGTGTCCACACCACCCGGAGAACCGTCCAGTGAGGCCTCTGCGATGCCTGCCCCCAGCTCCCCGGGAGACCTCGCAGGGGAGGCTGTGCCTCCGAAGAGGCCAGAGGAGGGGGCAGCCACATCCTGTAGGCCAGCCCCAGGTGGCTTCCCGCCACCGGAAGAGCTGGCTGAAGACCATCCACCAGTCTCATCAACATCTCGAGACGTAAAGGCTGAAGACCATCCACCAGTCTCATCAACATCTCGAGACGTAAAGGCTGAAGACCATCCACCAGTCTCACCAGCATCTCGACACGTAAAGGCTGAAGACCATCCACCAGTCTCACCAGCATCTCGAGACGTGAAGGGCAGAAAGTCCTCGAGCCAGTTGAGTTCCACTCCACCGGACTCTGGCCGCTCAAGGGCCTGCAAGCACAAAAGGCCCATGCCACTGCCCAGGCCAAGTCTTCCGTGGGAGAGAGGTGAGCTGCCCCCACCCTCTAAGCTCCCCTATCTTGCGGTGGACACAGAGGAGAGCCCTGTGAAACTGGGTGAAACTGACCCTCGTGCCCCTCAATTTGTCCGGATTGTTCCAGCTTATCCACCGCAGGCAGCAAATCTTGATAGAGAAGGAGGCCGCATGATCCTTCATTCACCTCGTGTGGCTATTGACAGCTGTATTCCCATCAGCTGTCATCCAGTGTGGAAGATCCCTCTGGTTCATACAGATTCCATCGTCGTGACGACATCGCGTATATCACACACCCCCATGCCCCTGAGCCCCCCAACCTCTCTCCAGCCCCCCGTCTCTAAAAACCAATCCCCAACCCCTATGTGTGTAGATTCTCCCCTTCCCAGTGTCCTAGCTTCCCCTGCCCCAGCCCCTCCTACCCAGGCCCTTGTTTCCGCTGTCCAGCCCGCCACTCCCTCAACCTCTCTCCTGCCCCCCGTCTCTAAAAACCAATCCCCAACCCCTATGTGTGTAGATTCTCCCCTTCCCAGTGTCCTCGCTTCCCCTGCCCTAGCCCCTCCTACCCAGGCCCTTGTTTCCGCTGTCCAGCCCGCCACTCCCTCAACCTCTCTCCAGCCCCCCGTCTCTAAAAACCAATCCCCAACCCCTATGTGTGTAGATTCTCCCCTTCCCAGTGTCCTCGCTTCCCCTGCCCCAGCCCCTCCTACCCAGGCCCTTGTTTCCGCTGTCCAGCCCGCCACTCCCTCAACCTCTCTCCAGCCCCCCGTCTCTAAAAACCAATCCCCAACCCCTATGTGTGTAGATTCTCCCCTTCCCAGTGTCCTCGCTTCCCCTGCCCCAGCCCCTCCTACCCCGTCCCTGACCTCGGCTGGCCAGCCCACCAGGCCTCTGGCTGCCCCTCCCACCCTTAAAGCCCAGCGACCAGCACCAGCTGTTCCAGCTGCACCAGCTGTGTCAGATAACAACGTCAGTGCCATGGACACAACTTCTCCGTCGCTGGCGGTGATATTCAGGTCTGCAGCACAGTCAGGTGGGCTGGGGGGCCCCCTGTATTGGAATCATCCAGTTACCCCCCACACCGCCTGCAGAAAGCATGTCAGTTGGAAACATCTAGCACATCCCTATCGGGTACCAGCTTATCACAGACACAGACTGCACCAAGCGGGCGCTGGTAGATCATAATGTCATGGAACATTTTCTTACCAGACACCAGCTGTCCGAGGATGAGTGAAAGCAAATATTTTTCTTTTGTTTTGATTTAATTTGCAGTGAAGAAAATATTTTGGTGAAAGTAAGATGTAAATATTTATGTACATATATTATAGGATGTAAATATGTTATTGAAAGTATATTGAGAAAAAGAAATGATGTAACCTAGCTCAGGGAAAGGATGTAAACCGAGCGATCACAAAGCACTTGGGCTTGGAGGTGAGCTCAAGGTCAGCCTGTTCTACTGTGGGACTGAGAGCCGCCTCACCCCAGAGATCCTCTGGAGAAGACTCGAACATGGTTCTGGGGCTGCAGCTGCAGAGCGTCCCTGTGGAGCTGAGACGGGATTCGAGCCGCCGAGTTCGAGACTGAACACGAGCTGCCGAGCCACAGACACGCTTCCCTGGGGAGTACAGAGACTTTGCCATAAGTGATCACTTGAGGGACACAGCAATAGGGTAGTGCTAGGCATGGTGTTTGATTGTGTGAGACTTGTGTGAATAAAGCATATTGAAAGGCACCGTTTATGGTCAGAGCTTTATTGGCGACACCTGCCCTGAGGAAGCCCACCAAGGTGGTCTGCTTCCTGCTAGCGTACCTCCCCTCCCAAATCTGGGACACCCCGTGACAAACAGAAGAAGCCCCTGTACCCCAGGCTCCTGTTTACTCCAGCCTACCCCCCACGGGGTCTACAGCCACTCACAGTTTAACAGGCAGTGCCTCAGCGCCTGCCACTGAAGCAGCCTACCCCCCAAGGGGTCTACAGCCACTCACAGTTTAACAGGCAGTGCCTCAGCGCCTGCCACTGAAGCCAATACTGAAGATGTGGACATTGTTGTGTCGGGCAACACCACACTGATAAAGAAATGGGAGTCATGGAGCAGGCTACATAATGCAGGATGCTGCTGAAGAGCAAGATCCTGGCCTTTTTATTGATTTACAGCATGGGTTGTAAGGGGGAGGAGCAAAAGGAAATGGGAAGGAGATTAAAGAAAGGGGAAAAATGTAGAAGATCAGGGATTGTGCGTCTGCCCTCCAGGCAATGCTCATCTGCTTGATGACTAGGTGTTGTCATTGAGATCACACCCTAATCCCCCAGCCATGGTTTCAATCTTATCAACAAGGCCTTCCACTGATCGGCCTCTGGGGTCTCTTGTCATACATCTGTCCTCAGCCTCCCGGGTGTTCCAGGTCATACCTCATGATGCATAGCCTTCCCAGCGTGATCCTGCTGTGTGCTCTTGTTTGATTTGAAGGGCACCTTGAAGGGTTGGGCTCTGTACCTAACTGACTGGGCCATCTTGACCTTGCTTAGAACTATAGGTGACAAAATAGTGGCCAAACGATCTGCTTAGGAGTAGCAGACCCACAGACACCACTCCTCAGGACCAAGCAGTCACCTGTTCACCTCCCCCTGCCTCTGAGAGCCATATCCCACATTGCACAGTGCCTCCAACCTCTCAGGCCAAGTAGCTCTTACTCTGCCTAAGTTGGGGACCAAAGATATGAATGGTTATGACAGCTCTTCTCAACTGGAAAAGCTGGTATTGTTAGAGGGCAAACCTGATATGAAACAGGTTGCCTGACTGTGGGTCCTCACCCGGGCACTTAAAAGGGATTTATTAATACTCCACTGCAGGCACACACAAAGGTTAATAAAAGGTTTATTTACAAGGGAAAGGGAAATGAGGAAATGTACAACTCCGGGAGAAAAGGGGGAGATAAATTCTTAAATTCATCCTACCTGTTCCACTGACCTGGAAACCCAATGGCACGCTGAGAGCTGGCGGACAGTCAAGAGCTGTGAAGCCAAGAGGAGCCCCCCAAGGCCCATGTGTCTGGTTTATACCAAACATGGCTGCTTAACTCCACCCTCAGGTCCCAGCAACCCTCCCTGTGGTGATGATGGGATTTGTCATTTCCAGTGTCTTGATGGCTTTGGTCTGGAGTGGGGGTGGAGTCCACAAAGCCTGTATGGAATTAGCTCAGGACATCCTTTCCCCCTAACAGTTTGACAGCAATAAAGTACGAAATCTTGGCAGCACCAGCCTCCTCGTCCATAGCCTCCTTGCCTGCCATCTCGCTGACTGCATGGCAGCTCACAGTTTTCTCATCCCTGCCCTCTCCATCCACTGGAACACACAGAAGAATGAAACTAGTTCCTCTCTGTCCTCTGGCTTTTATCTTCTTGCCTGAGGAAGTTCTGCACTGTCAAGGGGTAGTCCGATGATGATGGATCTTTACCATCTTTACATGTAAAATGGGCCCCAGCTTTAGGCTCAGCCATGCCTCTGGCCCCAGGTTGAGACTCAATGTGCCTCCCCATCTGTGTGCATCAGGGACCTGACTGTCTCCCCATTCTCACTCTACTCCCATAGTTGGCTGGTTGAAGAAGATGAAGAGAAGCTCAGAGCCACGAGATGAACTTTCATGAGCTCACACCCACAGGTCACCCCAGCGCAGGAGAACCTTGCCCTGCGATTCCCCTAGTCTTCACACACTTTCCTCTGAATTCCAGGGCTCTGTGCTCAGTAGCAAGGGAACCAGAACCAGGCAGCACCTGGGCCTCAGGTACCACCTGGCAGACCACGAATCCTCCGGAGCACTCAGGAACCTCAAGGACAACGGTAAAGGAACATTCTCAAGCAAACCTTTGATCATTCAACAAGCTCCGGTCCTCACTGCCTGGGCAAATCTTTGGGTTTGACATCACAGAGAAAAATATCTTGCCAGCCTTTTTTTTTTTTTCCAAAAAATATTTGCCATTTTATTTTTTTAATATTTTATTTTATATATTTCTTACATCATTTTTCATTTTTGCACAATGTATGCATTTGCATACATTGTTTATATACCCCAAACAATTGCACCCCCCTTATTTTGACCCCAATTCCTCCTTCCCCCCCCATCCCATAGTGTGTCTCTGGTTTACAGTTGTCTGTTGATTTTGGTTTTTACTGTATTACAATTAGTCTTTTCCCTGGTCCCTTATTTAGGTTTTTTAAATTCCTGCTATGAGTGAGACCATCCGGTATTTTTCTTTTTCTTTCTGGCTTATTTTGCTGAGCATGATCCTTTCCAGCTCCATCCATGTTGCTGCAAATTGTGTGAGTTTATCTTTTTTGATTGCTTAGTAATATTCCATGGTGTATATATACCACATCTTCTTGATCCAGTCATCTATTTTTGGGCATTTGGGTTGTTTATGTTGGTGAGGATGTGGAGAAAAAGGAACTCTCCTGCACTGCTGGTGGGAGTGCAAACTGATCCAACCACTACGGATAGCTGTGTGGAGATTCCTCAACCTACTAAAGACAGAGCTTCCATATGATCCAGTAATTCCACTCCTAGGTATTTACCCAACTGACACAGAAACATTAACTCAAAAGGGCAACTGCACCCCTATGTTTATAGCAGAACTATTTACAGTCTTTGTGTTTTTAGGAGAAATTGTCACAAGGTAAAAGTAACAAACATCTTTAAATGTGCAATTTTAGGGTGTCTAGCACATTCGACAGTTGTGCTAGCATCACCTCTATCTAGTTCCAAAACTTTTCCATCACCCTCAAGAGTGTACATGGCCTGTTTTCTCCTCTCCCAGTCTCTGGCAACTGCTGCTTTCTGCCTCTATCAATTTTCCTATTCTGGATACTTCATACGAATGAATTCACACAATATATGTCTGACTTCTTTCACTCAATATGTCCTTGAGGTTCACCACATGGTGCCATCAAACTTGTGCTCCTGTGTTCACAGCAGCCAAAGAGGGAACAACACAGATATCCATCAGTGGGTGAACAGATAGTGTGGTATATCCACATGATGGACTATTACTCAGCCATAAAATGAAAGAGTTTTTATAGAGACAGAGAGGGAAGGGAGGGAATGGAGATATGGGTAGCTAGTTTTTAATGGGAACAGTTTCTGTTGAGAATAATGAAAAAGTTTTGGAGAAACATGATGGTGATGACTGCAGAGCAATGTAAATGGACTTAATGTCACTGAACTATATAAAAATCATCAGGATGGCAAATTTTATGTTTTATGTATTTTACCACAACTTAAATAAAGAGTAGGAGGACCTCACACAAGTAAACTTCTTAAGGTTCCACAGCTGTCAAGTGGCAGGTTTGGGTCGGGGATGAATTGGAGGAACAGCTTTATGGTGACTGGACAGGACAGCACTAGATGGAGATTCTGGGGTGCAGGTGGTGAGCCCAGCACAATCTGAGGCACCTTTGTTTCCTGCACTCATGGATTCTTTGGGGCTCTAAAAACAGACAAGACAAAGCCTTCTTATTCTGAATTGCAGTGGGTATCTGGGCAAAAGCCCCTCTAAAAAAGATGCTCAGCTCCCTTGTCCTGACCCAACATTAGATTGGGAGGTGAGCTACTAATTCAGGCAGATGTGCCAGGTGCCAAGAGGAGCCCAGGGTCCTCCCCACCTGCAGAGACAGTAATGGCGTGTGACTGGGAACCTACCAGAAAGTCAGCCAGGTCAGAGTGGGAACTTGAGTGTTTTCTTACATCTCTGTCCAAGAATCTTTCCACTTGCTGTTGGAAGATAATGAGTTCTGAGCCACACCAGAGTCGGGCACTCTGTGGGTCTGACGACACAGTCTGCTCTTTGAAGAGAAATCCACACATATTAATCACCAGAAAGGAAAAAGAAAAGCAAACTACCACGGCTCACTCAGGAAATATTTATGGAACCCTGTTATGTGCTAGACTGTTCTGGGCATGGAAGAGAAAGCGGAAGTAAAGAGGAAATTCATTCCTTGGCCTCCAGGAGTTTGCCTTCTAGAGGTGGAAACTGCTGGTGGATAAACATAAATCATCAAGTCTGGGAGGGAAACAACATGGAGAACATCGAGAAGACTATTTCAAAAGGGCAATCTGGGAAGTCTCCTGGAAGAGGTGATGTTTGAATCAAAGCCTGAATGACCAGCAGGAGTCACCATGCAGGTAGCTGCAGAGAGAGCACTGGGGCAGAGGGAAAAGTGAGGACATGCACCTGGAGAC